ACACACACACACACACACATTGGGCATCTCCCCTGAAATTTCTAATTCAGTAACCTATCAGGGTTCAGATCCAAAAGGTCAGAAGACCAAATTTAGGGGGTAAGGTAGATTAACATGACAGAATCAGCTTGGAAGGTTCTTGAAGTTATCACATTCTTCCCCTCCGCCCTCCCCCAGAATATAAAATCCCCAACCTGGACCCTCTTCTCAACTCCATTTCTCACCTCATCCCCTTCTTCCCAGTCCTCACTGTGATGTTAATGCAGACTCTGCTCAAAGCAGTGTTTCCTCATCCTGGCAGCACTGGTTTCCATTCCCAAGAGCTCTGGTTTAATTGGTCTAAGGTAATGTCTACATAACAGTATTTTAAAAGACTATTCCCCAGATAATTCTAATGTGCTTTCAAGGCTGAGAACAATTGTTTTAAAGACATATACCAGGAAAGCAGCCAGAACATGGTCTGCATAGGTTCAGGAGAGTTAAAATTAAGACAAGAATGTCAATTGGAACTCATAGGTAAAAAGAAAATTTTTAATTTTTATTGGTGCTTGAACAAGAAAGTAACATCATGAAAATAATGTTTTGAAAAGATGATGTAATTGACCAGGACTTTGGAGGAAGGCTGACTCTGAAAAATAACAAGGGGTGAGGTTCTAGATAATCCGTACGAATCATATATAATCATAAAATGGAAAGATAACTGTAGGGATTGAAGAGAATGAGAATAGCAAATTTTCAAAAAAGTGTTTTTACTGAAGAATCTGAAGCTAAACTTAGGCTATAATTACACTCTGTCAATAATAGGAAGTTACAAATTTTATTTTCCAATTTTTGCAAAAGATTAAAAAAGAAACTTAATCTTGTGCTATGTCAAAGGATAATAAAGGTGCTGAATCTCTTCTTAGCCTTTTGCCTAAGATGAAGTGTAGTATCTGTTAACATCCTTTCAGTAAAGGTATTAAATAACAGCGGAGAGGAATGCCTTCAGTTTCTCTTTTGTTACTACTTGAAACAAAATACATCCATTGCAGTATGTATTAGTATTAGTATGCTACCCATTAAAATCGTTGCTTTTATTTTTCTTTGTGTGAAATCTCTAGAATTAAGTTTTCCTAGATCTCTCCAAGGAAGGCTTTAAACTTGCTTGCACTGGCTGCTCACTCCTTGAGCAATCTGTATCTAGAGGGAAGAAGTGAATATAGATATTTTGGTGCCTCTCTAGATTCAGGACTTTTACCCTTGTTTCCCCAATTTTGAATTTACCTCATGCAAATATGGTATGATTCCAACATTTTAACCTATGTCTCTCAAGAATGAGAGACTAACATACGAACAGATGAGTCTACCTGTGGAAAAGGCCATGCCCAAGCATGTGTTGAAGCCGGTGATGGCCAGAATGTCATCGAAGCTGCCAGCAGCCATGAGTAGGGTCGGGACCCCCTTCTCAACACCATAGCCTCCTGCCTGCAAAAGGAGCATGGATGGCACCACGACAGCTGGAGACACGGCTCCTAGGACAAAACTAAGTACAGGCTGCTTCAGTCACATGTCACCGTATTCTGCCCATTCTTATTATTTAAAAAAATAAAATTTACAACAACCTCTACTGCTTTAAAAGTTAGATTTTGGACAGCTATAATCTTGAATGGCAGAGAAACACTATACACAGGAAAGTTCTACAGAACATTGTTTTCCAAAATAAGTATACCCATGAACAACCTGTTTGGGAACTATTTAGGTTGCCTAGAATAAATATTTATGAATGGTACAGAAGTCTTCATTGGGTTAGGCCCCGGCAAAGCTACCTTTTTTAAAACAAACCATTCATTTTAAGAGGTCAGAAAAATGGCCATGGTTGTTCTGAACTTGTACCCAATGATGCTGGATCTTTAATTAGAGCTTGGTATGCAAATCAAGGCAACAGATTTAAACAAGAGAGCCGCAATGACAGTGACAGTGATCTTAATAATGGCAGCAGTTGTGGGCTGGGGTTAGAGTGCTTGCCTCACATGTGTGAGGCACTGGGTTCAATCCTCAGCACCACATAATAATAAATAAATAGATAATAAAGATATCGTGTCCATCTACAACTAAAAAAATCATAATAGCAGCAGTTGTAATACTGAAGAACATTTTACGTGCCTAACACCACTTTGAGCACTTCACATATATTAACTAATTTAATCTTCCTAACAGCCCTATGAGATTGATACAGTCTACCTTCATTTTATAAGTGAGGAAATTGAAGTACAGACAGACTACATAATTTGTCAAAAGTCACACTCTGGAAAATCACAAAGCTGGGATTGGATGCCAAGTAATCCAGAATCTTAACCATGAGAAGAATGTCATCCTTCTAGCCTACTTATTAGCACTAAATTCCTACTAAGTACTTCTTTATTTATTTGCTTCTCATGGCTATTAAGTATTAGGAATAAAAGGCTGCTAGTAGAAGGGACACTGTGGCAGGTGTTGATCATGAGTGCTAAGTTAATCATCCTTTGTGTAGACTCTGGGGTAAGATCCAGCATCTCTCTCACAAGCTTATAATCAGATCTCCATCTGACAAAAGACCACACCTTCTTCAATAGTTTGAATTATCATAATTACCATAAAAGTTAGTGTCTAAAGAGACACAGACCATAGTTTGAAGTTAGAATATTTAGATGATACTGGATTATCTCTGCTGCATTTTCTGGTGTTCTTAAGAAAATACTATAATGTATTCTCTTGTATGGGATCAAAGAAAGTCCTTAATATCCCTCCATATTTTCATACAACAAAGCAAAAAAAAACACAAAAAACCCATTACCCCAGTATAAATCCCCACTGCCAAGGTAAACCCATTAGGAAGTGGGCAAGAAGAGCAGATGTGCATGCCTCCACGAGACAGGGACCCATGGACAGTCGTACACACACACCCTTCAACTTCTTCAGTGCCTGGAATATAAAAGTAAGCATACTAATATAATCCTCTGAAGACATGCAGAGACACAACCGTAAATGCTTTCTCTTCAGCATTCAGACTGTGTCTGGGTCATCAAAAACTTCCCAGGTAATTAGTTTTAACAAACATTTTAGCATCCTAAGTGTTTTAGAGACAGCTTATGTAATCCTCACAGTAACCCCATGAGATAGGTAATGGTACTATCCATATTTTTAAAATCTAAAAAGGCACAAGTCCAAGTCATGTTTTCAAAGGTCATGAAATTGGTGAGTGATGGGGCCAGGTGTGCATCCAGGTAGGTGGCTTCTGGAGTGAGTGCTCACAATCCTCACACTAGCTGACTTAACCTTCTCAGTATTCGTTTTACTTATAGTCTGGGGCCCAGAATGAGGCCAAGTGAAGAGCTTCATCCCCTAAGGACATTCATTTCTGCATTCCAAAATATATGAAAAAAGCATTAAGAAAAAGCATGCTTGAGATTCATTCAATATACTAAGCAGTTTCCTGAACCAGCATAATTAGTCCTACATACTTACAAAGGGTTTTGCACACCAAAAATATATTGTTCCCCACTTCCCATCATCATTATTTATTACTATGGCCTATAGCTCTTTCAGAGAAAAGGAGAGCTTCTACTCTTGTGTTGTCACCACACATAGTACCTCCACCTTTCTCCAAGAAAGAGTATGAGAATATCTTCTGAGTTCCTGTGAGGCACAAGGTCTTACCTGCAAAATAACTCTGCATGAAATAAATTATATTTTCTTCTTGAGAATGTCATACAAAGTATCTCTATCCAATTCCCAAAGCTCAGTGATTCTAAAGATATGGAATGTTAGAGGAACAAAATTCCTATTCAATAATAAGAAATTTATATTTTATACCTTTGAATCTAGACCAAGGCCAGCACGAACCAGTATAATAGACAGGGCTATGCTTCTCAGAGAGGAGGACCACTTGTGCTTGATCTGTACATTATCACTGATGACTGGAATATTTCTGAGGAGAAATCCAGCAAGCAGCATGCCTTGAATGGAGAAGTCAAACAAGAATGAATCAGTTTTCAAATGTAAGACAATATTTTTCAGCATTTTACATGTGAAAGAGACTATTATATAATCTTATGTTTAGTCCTTAGATAAAATTGTGTTAAACTTTTATTTTTTAAAAAATGATATGATGAATTAGAAGAGCAAAGAAAGATTTTAATATACACATAAAAAGTAAGATTCAAATAATTACTATTTCTTTTATGGCTTTTGCTGGTAAATGGATGGAACTGGAGAATATTATGTTAAGTGAAATAAGCCAATTTCAAAGAGGCTAAATGTTTTCTCTGATATGTGGATGCTAATTCACAATAAGGGGTGGTGGGGGGCAGAATAGTGGTATTTTGGACTAAACTGAGGGGATTGAAGGGAAGGGAGGGGTCATGGGGGTAGGAATAATAGTAGGATGAATTGGACATTATTACCCTATATGCATATGTGATTACATGACCTGTGTAACTCTGCATCATGTACAACCAGACAAATGATGTGTCAAAATGCATTCTACTGTCATATATAACTAGTTAGCACAAATAAAAAATAAACAATTACTATTTCTCAAATAATTAAAGATAAAAAGGAGAAACAAGATGCAGCTTTTGGCTAGAGATAATAATTAAATCTTAAACATAAAATGTTTCGGTTCGGTGTCAGCTCAGTCATCCCTTTGTGTGCAAACAGCAACCAGTTCCTGAAATAACTTGTTATGTCAGTTTACTTGAAATATCAATAAGTACTTACATGGCTTCTATTTCACTTCACACCAGATAACTTAATAACAAACACATAACTCACTTTGCAAAGGCTTTAGAAATTATGTTGAAATGAACACTGCCCTGTCAGTCGGCTGGTGGCTCTTTTTCAGTCAGCCAATATTTACTGGTTGCCTTTAGTATTTCAGACACTATGTGGGTATTAGGAATATAATGGACAAGCAGCAGGAATTATACCTCAACAAACTTTCAGCCTCTAGGAAAACAAGACAAACTAACAACCCCAATATTAGGAAAGCATGAGGGGGTGTTGTATGAACTGAGAAAGGGAGGGTGAGCAAAGGGGTCCAGGGAAGGGGAAGGGTCTGCAAGATTGTAAAATGCCTGGAAGAGACACTAGTTTATTCAAAGGTGTAAGACAACATGACACATTCTGGGAACTTCACATAGTGGTGACTAACTTGAGTCTTGTAGCTTATGAGGGAATTCTCCCTCACTGATGCCACATGCCCACAGGGTAAAGATTTCTCTGAGACAGACTGTGAGGCTTATATCCACCATTTTTCTCCAACAGCAGCAGCCTCTCCTCAGGTCCTTATAAGCACCACAGTTTGCATGACTAAATAAATTAATTAAAGTTGGGATATTTTATGAGAACAAATTATATGTACACTTTATGACTCGCTATAGATGCCATGATGCAAGAATGCACCATTTCTATTACTGCTATTTAATTCATTACTGCCATTTAATCTAGAAGAAAGTCTCTGAGTTCACAATTCTGTAATCATGGTCTTTCTAGAATGTTTATTGGGTAACAGTGTGAAAAAACCTATAGTATCTATTTGTGTGTGTGTGTGTGTGTGTGTGTGTGTGCGCGCGCGCATGTGGTGCTGGGGATCAAACCCAGGGCCTTGTGCATGTGAGGCAAGCACTTTACCAACTGAGCTATATCCCCAGCCCCTATACTATCTGTTTTTAAAAGAAATACTGATAAGAGTAATATGCACATGGTAAAATTAAAACATTACCAGCAAACATAGAGTGGCAGTACTGCCCTACCCTCAATTATAGCCTTCCATTTTTACTCCCCAGTTAATTCTCACAGAATGCTTTCATTACTGCTTGTCAAATTCCTGCATCCAAAACCAAAAATGGTTCCAGTTCAACCAAGATTGGACAAAATCATATTAAAAAATGCTTACCTACTATCTGATTCCATAAAGAAGTCACATCCTTGGTAAGCGAGAGTGTAGTGTCACCATGAATATTGGTTGATACTTTTATTTATGTTAATGAGTAAGACAAAAGGGCAATAATAGAAATATATGTTAAAATGTCACTTTCGCCAGGCATAGTGGCACACACCTATAATCCAAGTGTCTTGGAAGGCTGAGGCAGGAGGACCACGAGTTCAAAGCCAGCCTCAGCAAAAGCTAAGCAACTCCGTGAGACCCTGTCTCTAAATAAAATACAAAATAGGGCTGGGGATATGGCTCAGTGGTTGAGTGCCCCTGAGTTCAATCCCCAGTAACCCCCACCTTCCAAATGTCACTCTTTGTCAATGTCGTGAGACGCTTCCAATACAACAAACCCTGATTTGTAGTATTTACTGGTTTCTGTATTACACATAACTGCAACACAGCCAAATTTTAAGCTACCAACATGCCAGAGGTGGGAAGAGATGGGCAAAGGCACAGCATTACATGATATTTCCATAATCTCAAGAGCACAGATATGGGGTAATTCAGTAAAAGAATTTGGAAGTTATCAGTCTTGAGTATTTGATTGCTCTTACTCTTTAATGTATGTTATTTAATTGTAATTTTATATAATTTAATTTTAAAAAATCACCATGTTTAACAACTGGCTCAAAAACTCCTCAAAATTTACCAACTGGTTTTGGACTATCACACAGCAAATACAGAAATACATACTTTATTTCTTTATTTCCCAAAGCTTTCCAAACTACTATTATGAAAATATGATTTATTGGAAGAAAATGGGAAATGTTTAGCACTTACCAAGAAGAGGAGGAAGAGGAGGCAGTGTTGGTAACTTAATGAGCCCAAAAAGTTTACCTCCAATGATGGTAGAATAGAATAGGATTATAATTCCAAATAAATTTCCTCCAGGAAGACATTCACTGCCAGTAACTGACCAAACTGCAGCCCACAGAAGAACAACCATGGTAACTGAAACAAATCAGGAAAACTTGTTTCTATAAGTAAGTTGTAATAGGCAGGTTTTGAAACAATCTAAAATAATTTTTAAAAATAAACATTGAATGCATAAAAAACCTTTATAGCCATGTGCAAATTATAAAGAACATCAGTAAAATGAGCAACAGGGTAGTTTCCAACCACTTTTAAAAAACAGGATATTACTAATACTTTCGAATCCACCTATGTGGCCCTCTCCAATCTCATCCATCTCTTTGCACACTGCAGAAGGAACCACTGTCTTGGATTTTTTTTTAAACCCATTCCCTTATTTATTTATTTATTTATTTTTAGTAATTTTATCACAAATACCAGTTAATACTAAAAAGAACAAAATCATTATCTTTGCCCTCTTCTTAGGAATATGAAATACTTGAACTCTAATCCTACTTCAGTTATGTTAGTTCTGCCTTCAGTTAAACATTACCTTTATTTCTTTTCTACAATCAACATGGATTTAGAATTATGCACATTCTTGCCTTTTTTTAAAAAAAATCATCATTCATTATAGCATCTCAAATCTTTCATCTAGGACAATTATCCTGATACCTGAACTATTTTCTTTAGTAAATTCATTTCCACTAGAATGTGAAATATGTTTCCAGTTTGAATACAGGTGTTCTATAAAATTACATACTAAAAATAGAATGGCTCATGAGAAAAACTGAGTTAGGACAAACTACTCAAAACTTGAAACTTACGACCTAACCACTAACAAAAATGTTCACAATCCTAATAAAAGTAATAGCACAGATAAATCTCCACAGACATTTGTATCCCAGGCAGGCACTCTATTCTTTGTACACTTCCTACTTCAAGATGTAGATTCTTGAGGATATTTTCTTTAAATACAAACAATTGTATCAAAATCTGATCCATATTGCAGTGCTCTCCTTTAATCAAAAAAAAAATTTTTAACCGAGGGAAAATTTGTTGGCAGAATCTTCATCTGCTTTCTCTCCATGTGTAGTTAGTTGCTTTATAAGTTTAATGTTGTGGAACATTTAAAAGTTCCTAATGCCCCTAAACTAGTTATTATCTCTATGAAAATAAGGCACTTCAACAGGAATTACAGTTTTTAGAAGGTCCTCTTGTGAAGGAGGTTTAATCTTTAATAGTGAGAATACACATACCTGATCTTTTTGTTTTTTATTCACTTTGACTTCATTTGCTATTGCTTAACAATGCAAAATATTAACATGTGAGGAAAAACATGCACAAACACGCAAATTGCATATTATAGTAACACGATTCCCTATTTACCATTGCATCCGTGCTAATTCATGGTGTAGAAACATTCTGTATCAGAACATGCTCTATTTCTTATGACAGTCTTTGGAAGAAAATTGTTAGTTTTGTTGTCTGACATTATTCTTATTTTAAAAGATAGCTTTTCTAGGTATATCTCAGATTTACCTTAAATTGTAAGTGAAGAGTTATTTTTTTTCTCAATCCCTTGATAATATTCTTCCTTGGTTTTCTGGCTTTCAATGTTGTTATTCAGTTTAATTTTGGCCCTTTTCCAGAAACTTTTTCCTTTTGTTTGTTTTAAAATATTCTTTTTTTTTTTTTTGGTTTTCTGTAATTTTTAAATGTTTAGAATTGGCTTCCTTTTGATGTGCTTAGAATTTATGTTTTTGTTTTTAAAAAAACAATTCTGGAAAATTCTGTCTTTATTTCTTCAAATATTTCTTATCCAACCTCCCTAATTTTTTTTGTGAAATTATGATTAGACAGTCACTCTACTTCCATGTTGCTAAGACTATTTTCATATTTTCCATCTTTGTGTGTTCTATAATCTAAATAATCTCTTCAGTTCTATTTGCTGGTGGATCAATTTTTTTAACTTCATCTGCTGCTTACTCTATCCATCGCTTTTTAAATTTCAATTATTATACTACATCTTTCTAGAAGTTCACATTTGTTCTTATTCAAATTTATATAATTTTAAT